ATTTGTAGTGCCAGAGTAAAGTAGGTTACTAAATTTAGAATATATTAAGGTACATTGATCAATAAATTTTTACATTCTGACAGCTCCTATCTTCTAATTGATGTGGATTTTTAGTTGCAGAGTCTATAAAGTGTAACGATCAAAAAAATCTTATATTTTAGAATTTCTTTTACTTTTTCTTCCTTTCAAAATTAAGTGGATTTCTAATTCTAGTCTATTAATAAATATCGATCAATGAATTCTTTCAAATCGACAACTCCTTCAAAGGCACTCCAAACCCTTCAATCAAACTCTTAAAGGGAAATTTTAGAAAAATCTCTTGGAAAAAAATGTAAGGCACATATAATTTTATTCCATGGACATTTTTACAAAGACAAATTCCCACACGTAGTTTCAAAGCCATATGGCGATGAACCTATTTTTATCCCTCTTCCTCTCAGCTACCGTTCGCTGGTACATACAAATGTGTTGCGTGCATCAACGAACGACATCGCAATATACTCCAGGAAAAAGTATTCTAACCTTCACCCTACATAATGTGGTCACCACAATAGTTTCACTTTCAATAAAGCGGCGACTATGAAATATACAATTATATTAAAAACCTACAAATGTAAACATACATAAATATATGTATGTCTGTCTCTACAGTTACAAACACAGACAGATGTATGTATGTACATTTATGTAGCAGATAAAAGAACTGATAGGAATGCTTAATGAAATCCACCTGCAATAAAATCTACTGCAGCACTCCACACTACACTATTGTTTTTGTTTTGGTTTTTATTAGATTTTTTTGTTATTGTGTTATACATACATATATACATATATATTGTGTAAGAAAAATATTCTTATAAGAATTCAAAAACAACACAAACTACATAACAAAACTTCTTTTCCTTGTTTTTATTATTGCTTCAAGCAATTAAAATTGTTATTTACCCCATATTAGATAATAAAAGAGAATCACAAAAAACAAAAAACAAAAAAAATTCCTATGTAGAAAAGCATAATTTTGTTTTTGTTCAAAATGACTGAATAAAAATAAAACATATATGGAAAGGCTATGAATAGCTGCTGCGAAGCAATAACAAACAACAAAAAATACAAGAAACCGGTAAGCTGCTGCTTCTGCTGCCTCTGCCAGTGCTACTATTGCAACAACAACATATGTTGAAAGCAAACCCTCATGCCATTCGAAAGCGAACATAGCATAATGAGAAAATTTGAATTCGCTTTATTTCTCCACTTGACACAATGATTTTGTGTTCGCTCTCTCTCTCTCTCTCTCTCTCTTTTTGCCATAACACATTTTTGCGTCTTTTACTGCCTACGTGACGATTCCCACACAATTAAAGCAACACAAATACAAATTGTTGGATTTGGACTAGTTTATTTAGAGCTATGTTTATAAATTGCGTTCTAAATAAAATTTGTTTAAAAAAATATGATTTAAATTAAATGTTTGTATTTTTTCTTTGAAATTATTGCTTAAAATAAATAATGAGTTATTTTTTTCAATTTTTTGGTTTTTATTTTAAATATATTTATATAAATTAATTTCTGGGAAAGAAAATAATTCTTTATGCAGTTTTTTTTCTGTGAATGGTTGTTGTCTTTGATAAACAGCTTTTTTGTACGCAATAAAGCACAATTTTATGTTAAGGGCGCATAACCATTTCAAACCCTCAGCTAGTGAATACCGTAACTGTTCTTAGACCGTGTGTGAGTTCGATGGTAATTGATGATAAATTAATGGAAATAGTAAATTATGTCAGTATATTTGAAATATTAGTCATATGTTTTACAAGTAAAATATAAATAAACAGCTGAGCTGTAAACAAAAGTACTGAGAAAGTGAGTATTTAATAAAATCATTGTTTTTATTAATTGAATATGTAATATTGAATATTTATATATATATAAATTATTAAATGAAACAAACATACTAAGAATGTGAGTATTTAATAAAATCTTTGTTTTTATTAATTGAATATTTCAAGGATACATTAAATATATATATTTAAATGATTTAATATACTATTTATATATATAATTTTTTTGTGATATATTATTAAGTAAAATTTATTTAAACAAAAGCTCTCTCTTAGAACTTTCAAACAGTTTCTGTTACATGAAAACTCACATGCAATAAGTAACTTACATATATCCATGGAAACGACAAAATTTTAAAGTTACTTAAATAACTTACTAAGTAAGCAGTGATAACATGGCATTATAAGTTACAGAAAAGTTATGTTATAACCATATTTCCACTGCGTCATTTAAGAAGTTTTGCTCATTAGCGGGCTTGCTAATGAGAATAATTTACAATATCAAGAGCTTTTATAGTATAAATGGGCTAATTATAAATAAATCAACTAATTTAAGGTAAAAAAAGTGGAATTCAATTTTTAAAAATAAGTTCTTACAATAGAAATGACCAAAATATGAAACATTCGTTACATGTTTTATATGTAAAATGTAAACAAACAAACTATTTCACATGCACAAATCAGTTTAAACCAATGGAAACGACTAAATCTTTCTAGTTTTGTTTTAATTCTTAATTTCATTAACATAAATAGTTTAATTGCAGTAGAAACATGATATTAAAAACACAGAGAGTTGATAAATTTAATCATTTAAATATTGCTAAATAAAATTCGTTGATATTAGTTTGGGTTTACGTATTTGTTTCAATTTCTTTGATAAATGACAAACAAAAATGATAATTTTAATTTTATTTCAATAAAAATAATCAATATTAATTAATATATTTGTTGAAATAATTTTTAAATAAATTAATTTTATTTAAACAAAACGAAATTTTATTAGACCAGAGTCTACATTCCTAATTAACTTCATGAAGAGTGAGGTTATGTCCGATTATTAAGGCTACAGACATTTTAAATTCAAATTTTTGTGGAAAAATACTTACGCATAAGGAGTAGTCTTAGCTAAATATGAAAGATTTGGATATTAAGAATAAGAATGGACGGGGTATTAGCTCCCACTTGAGCAGAGCACTGCGACCATGATTGATCTTTTGTACTACAACAGACGCTAACCGAACAGAAGACATTTTGCCTTCCGAATGAAGGCTAAAATGTAGGCCGGTGAGGACCTCCTAATGTCGGAAGATGACAGTAGTTCCTGACCCAGTGACCTCCTCCTGGCCCAGATCAAGGCTGGGCAGTCACATAGAATGTGGCTGGATGACTTCTCTGCTTCTAAGTAGAATTTACACTCTATCTCTTCGGACAGA